TTTGGGGGATTAAAAAAAAGGAGTGAATGGATTTTTATCATTGTAGGGTGGTTGTGTCCACACACTGCTAAGATACATGTATATGCAAACACCATGTAAAAGTGAATTTTGCATCCAATGCCTACTTTAAAACTGAAATATAATCTTAATTCAAGTGATGAAGGATTTCGAAAGTCTGACAGTAATCAGTGTTGAGTACTACTGTAAGGTTTACCCTGTCTGGTTTACATGTTTGAAAATGATAAACAGTTAAAAAAAATAGAAATTTAGAAAAGTAATCAAAAAGTAATCAAATGTAATCAGTTACATTACTTCTATAAAGTAATTGAAAAGTTACACTACTTTTTACATTTTAAGTAGGGTAACTTGTAATCTGTAACCTATTACATTTCCAAAGTAACCTTCCCAGCACTGAATATGAGATATCTGTTTGATAATGCCTTTAATACAATGGAAGTGGGCAGTTGATACCTGTTCTGTTTTTGCATTACAGACTATAATGATACAGAAATGAATTTGCAAATAATGATTAAGATTAATGTGCACATCAGTTTGTCAGTCCATAGAAACAGATTATGTAAGATAAAAGAAGATAATTATCATGATTCCTGTGAAACACAGTGTATTTTAAGTGTGCAAGATGCATCATCATAATCAACGTCACGACACCATGGCATCACAATAAGTTTCACTGGAAACCACCGAGCCTCATTTCCTTTTGAATGAATATTCTTTAAAGATAAAACAATGAAAATCTTTGACATGGAAATCTGATGAATGTGACCTGCACTGTGAAATACAGGTGACAACAGATTCATTTCCTCATAGAAACACTCTAACGTAAACAGCTTACATAGCAATACAAAAAGCATTTTTTTTTTCATTGAGTGAACTGCGTGTCTAATATTCTGTGTTCAGTCATCTTTGCATTAGTTCAATGGGACGCTTTTAAAAGCAATGTGTGATACTCAGGCAAGTGAAACAAAGCAAACTGCTGTCTGCCATCGGTCAGTCAAACACTAAATCAGTAGTTTGAGTCAATATTTGATGCTAAAACAAACATTTGACAGTGTCACAGTGTTTACCTTTTGTTTACACTTTATTTCAATAGCCATTGTAGACTTTCTATAACTATATGTAACTTTGCAACTACATGTAAACTAACTCTCATTAGAGTATTCGTAGACTGTTAGGCAGGGTGCGAACTATGGGGGAGCCAGGGGGAGCTCGGCTCCCCTTAATAAGACATAGGCTCCCCTGAAA